TTATAATGTATTGATACTATATTAATATATTGAAGTTTTAACTAATAATTATAATGTTACATTTTATACCATAACAATGGGAAGGTGATGAATCTTGTAGACCTATCAAAAATAAGTTTGAATTCTTGATATACAGATTATAGCAGATATAATATTTTTAAATATTCTCATTATAGGATAATGATGACATTCATCATTTTTTTTACCTTTTATCATTTTATAGAGTATTATAATTGTCAATATATTATTCTTTCATTCATCAGAAAGTAGATCAGAGTAACTCAAATAAAAAAAGTTCAACAATAAGTTCTAATATAGAAGATACCAAACATTAATATGTACTTTTATCACATATTTTTTATTATAATATTTATCCTGTATTTATAAAATAATTATCAATTATTATTATATATAAATCTTAAAGAAAAATGTATTGTATACCTACTGTAAAAGTTCCAAATATATATATTAAGAATTAAAGGAATTATTAAGGTTTGAGTTTTAAAATAATTGTTAATTATTTCTTAATTATTATACTATAGGTCTGAAATTTTTACAGTGAATAATGTACAATATTTTATATTTAAGATTACTTAATACCACTTCTGATATTTTGCTATTAAATAATAAAGTTTATATGTAACAACTTTTGAAAATGTTATCAGAACTAACACAATTGAAGTTGTATAAAACTTTTTTTTAAATGAATCTTCTGATCAAAAAGCTATTATATGATATCTTGTTTGTTAAAATTGAATACAGAAATTTTGTTTTAAATGAAATTAATTAATTGCATATTTATTGTAGATATCAACTATCTCAAACTTGTAGTTTAAGATATGATCTACAACATTTATTATAACTGTTTTTAACAATTCCTAGTGAAAATAAAAAAAAAAATATTTATATTAATATATTGTCTTTCACACAAAAGTTATAATTTTTTTAATATTTAGTTGATTTTTTAGACATATTTTTACTAATCTAATAAATTGATTTTCTTTTAATACTTCAAAAAAATTCTTTCTTATTTTTTTGGAATAATCCGTGTTTTTTGACTTTTCTTTCCAATATATCCACAGATTTTCAATTGGATTAAAGTCAGGACTTTGTGCAAGCCATGGAAGAAATTCAATTTTGTTATCATTCTTCCAAGTTTTAGTTTTCTTTAAAGCATCTAACAAATATTTTATAAATTAATTCGTGATCCATATAAGAACCGGTCAATTTCATTAATAAAAATTGGGATATATGTAATATAATATTTATTAGCAAAACGGAATCCAAAAAACATAATAAAATTTAACAAATAAATTTTTGTTTCTTCTTATATAAAATTATTTGTAAATTAAAGAAAAAATTTATCTTGTTTATAAAAATTACTGATCATATTATTAATTTTTATTTTGGTTAAAGGAAGTTAGATTCCAAAATGATATTAAAATTGACCAGTTGTTACACAAATCACGAATTAAAGTTTAATGCAATAGTGATGTAATAAACGATACATTAGTGATAATTATACAGTAACTATGAATTTACAGTAGTAACTACAGTGATAATGTTACAGTAACTGAATTTACAGTAGTAACTTACAAATTTAATACAATAATAGATTTCAGCAAAGAAATTCTATCTAACAGATTATCTTAGATAGATAAATAAATAATCTACATGTCTCTATCATTAGGAGAAATTAGAAAATGGAGCCCGGAAGAGGTTATTACTTTTATAAAGGCCAAGAAAAATGATTTGTTTCTTAAGGAAAATCAGATTAAAGTTTTAGAGGATCAAGAAGTTGCTGGTTTAGACTTCCTTAGGTTGAGCCAAGAAGATTTGGAACGTTGGGGAATACCAGGTGGACCAGCGAAAAGGATCATAGAATCAGTTAAAGAAATTAACGAAGGACGACGTATGTTGTGTTAGGCAAACAATAAAAATAAAATCGATTTTTTTTTCGATATTTGCTTAATGTGAGTTTATTTTTCTAGTTCTCAGTTTGGAAGAAGCATTATCTTATATTCCACCAACTCTTAAATGTGTTTCTAAACCAAAGCCCACTATTCCAGTAATTGGAATTATACCTAAAAAAATATTACTTTGGAATGATTTTTTTGATAAAGTTAATAATTATAATTTTGACCGGCAGCAATTAAAATTCGAGAAACCACAATTTGGATATTATCAATCAATTTATGATGAATTTAGTGTTCGTTGTGCAGTACATGTAAATATTAATCAGGTATTGAATTTACTTTTAGGATCAAATTACTGGTTTTCTTCAGATAGGTCAGATAGGTCAAGTAGGGTACAACCAGATTTCTCCAGTTATTATAAAGGAAAACAAGATTTCACTTGTTATTACAAAGGTGAGGAAGAGGATAATATGATTATGGTAATTGATATTAAGAGAAATCAAGGTTTAATGGATATTGGCGAAAAGACACTTCCAGAATTTTGTGCGGAGAATGAGGAAGCAAAGATAGCGATTCACCAAATTTATAATTACATGTTATTTAATGCGTTAAAATATGGTATATTTTCAACCTACGATTACAATTGGTTTTTATGTCGACCAGAGAATGAATCGGATGTTCTTTATATTTCAAAAACTCTTTCAATTCATTCAGAATCTCCATCAATGCTTAAAGCTTATGCATATTTAGCTTTAGAAGCAAAAGAGAACTTTTATTCACCTATTCCTTTGATATAGAACGATTAGATGAAGAACAGTTAACTTTTGGTGATTTTAAATTTCTAAGTATTTTAGGTACAGGAGGATGTGGAAGTACAAAACTAGCTGAATTTCGTGGAACTTTGATTGCTTTAAAATCTATTGATTTATATAAACAGTCAAATCTTTTGGGGGAAATGAAAAATGAAGTTGAGATTTATAAAATCCTTATTGACATTCAAGGAAAATATATTCCAAGATTGGTAATTATTTTTTTATTTTAACAATTTGAAATAATTTGATATAATTGTATATAATTAATATATATGTATATATATATGTTCTCTTTAGGTATGTTATGGTTATTACAGTGGGTTTTCTTATGTGATAGGAACAACCCTTGCTGGTTCCAGTCTTGAAGGTAAACATATAACAACGCAACAAAAAGATATGGCTATTGATGGATTAAATGCAATTCACGAGCATGGTATTCTTCATAAAAGTATTCATGAAGGAAACGTCTTACTTAATGAGGATACTGGTGATATATTTATAATTGATTTTGGGAAGTCGGGTCAGGTTGATTTAAATAAGAAAAATGAAAAGTTTGAAAATGAGTTAAAAGAATTAACGTATATGTTAGATGAGAGCTTGTAAACAATTATATAGTGGATTACAAATAATGAAATAATGCGGTAATCATTAATTATATGAAATTTAAACTAAAGAATGAATAAGTAAACAGAAGAAAATATTATCGTGAATTAATTGAAATTATGGATATTGACGAGGAAGAAAGTTCTTACCTTTTATACTTTTTTATTGAATGGTGCCAATAAAAATAAACAAAAGCAAATAAAACATAAAGGAAACCTTTTAAATAAAATGTTATTATAAGAATAAAACTTATCCAAGGTGTGCCTTCTGCTCAAGGATAAATAAGAATAATAATGGTGGTGATGATAATAGTAAATAAATAAAGTCAAATAAAGAAGTTTGAAAACAAAAGATTCTTATTGAGGAAGGAAAATAATAAAAAAAAAAAACGGTAAAAAACAATAAAAAGGGAAGGATAAAGTGGAAGACCTTCGACAATAAAAATAATAAAAGAATATAACGAATTATTAATTTATTTATGCATACATATATCAATTTCATAAAATGTCAAGAAAATTGAAGTAATGTTATTATGATCCCTTTAATCTATTCTGTTATCTATTAAGAAAACAACAATCAATTATTACAATTATTACAGTTCTATCTCCTAAAGTGGTTACGAACAATTTGTTCTACAGAATAAAAAAAAAAACGAGATAGTACAACAAACATTTCGCAAACTAAACAAGATGCAAAATAAAATTAGTAAAATTATTGTTATTACAATAATGAAAGTAATAAACATTAGTTAAAAAAAAAAAGATGCAATAAATAAAACAAAAATCAAAAAAAAAAAATATTAAAGAAACAAAACAAACAAAGTAGTTCGCATAGAAAACTAGAAGTTAGTAAATTAATTTTTTTAGCAAAAAGATCTTTCCGCGTTCAACAACAATTTCAGTGTTACACAAAATCAATGATAATTTTATTGATAATCGTGACATTTGATTATCACGAAGAGAAAATAACTATTGGACGTTCCAAATAATTTAATATATTAATTTTTAATTTTTATTTGTAACATCTATTATTATTATTGTAATATCTATCTATTTTTTTTTATATAAATGACTAATGTAATGACTGAACTATGATACTAAATTTCAGTTTATATAGTTTTTTTTTTTTGATTATCATAACACCAAAAATCATATTATAACCAAAATTTCATATTAGAATTATTAGAATTAATATTAATATTATTTAATTTTAACCCACTCAACTACAAAAATTTCCAACCAACCAACCCATACTAATACAACAATAATACTACATACGTACATAATATTGATACATTAATATCGATACATACGTAAAAAATAACCAATAAAAGTTCATAATAATGATAATAATATATAATAATAATAATAATAATGATAACAATAATATCGATCGATCGAATGCTAATACCATCCCCATAATCTTTTAAAGAAAATACCCATCTCGGATAATGTACTACCACTAACCATCTTTAAATTTGGGGTCACTGGATTAGGTAACTGTTTTTTAACCGCTGCAGGTTGTCTAGGTGCGGCATATTTTATAATGGCTTTTTTATATCCTAAAGTAGGATCGGTAAGTCTAAATGATGATGATGATGATGATGATGTACCGGCACCAGTGGTAGATGTAAAAATGGGTGTTGTTGCTTCGACAATACCACCGCCAGCAGTAGTAGAACCACCACCACCACCACTAACAACCGTAGATGGTTGTGATATATTACTAAATACACCACCACCGTCAACAGCAGTTGGTTGTGATATATTACTAAATAAATAATATTATAATTATTAATATTATTTATAATTATTATTAAAGATGATTATTAAAAATGATTATATTAATATTTTAATAGATAAATACATACCCTAAACCAAAAGTTGATATATTTCTAAAATGAGGTGATGATATTGGAGGAGTATAAATTGTGGAAGGAGGATTAGGTATAATAGGTGTAATAGGTGTAGCAGGTGTAGTAATATAAATATTATTAATCCTTCCTGAAGGACCTGAAGTAATAGTAGTAGTAGTAGTAGTAGTAGGAATAGTACTCGGAATATTACCAGGTGTAGTTATGGGACTAATAAACAAATTACTATTATCTGTCTTCATATTATAATAATCACTTTCTTCCATTAAAGCTTTTTCTCGAGCTTCTTCATTTTCTTTATTAATTTGATTTACAATGTCCGTGATACTTAAAGTTGGATTTTTGAATGTTCGTTCCAAAATTTCATCTTGTGAAATACCAACATTTCTAGATACTTTACTAAAAATATAAATATAAATATATATATATATATATATGTAATAAATATATAAATAGAAATATATAATATAAATAGAAATATATCATAATAGAAAAATTTTACTTACATTCTTGAATAAGGATCCACTTCCGTCCTTCGATATTTTCTTGCCATTTTCTATAAATTGATTATTACTACTATTATTACTATGATTACAAATAATATGATGATTATTATTATTATTATTATTAAAAAAAAAAAATCAAACCTTTGCAGTATTTAAAATAAATGGATCCATATATTTAGTTTCTTGAGGTTCCAAAGCTTGCTGAAATAGCATCGCCCGTTGACAATCTTGACAGGAGTGAACGTGACCACAGACCGTACATTTATGATTAGGCTCATAAGTTAGTTGAGTATAAGATTGTCCAGCTGGTACAAGTTCAAGTGGTTGTTGTGGTCTTGACATAAAATTATAATTATTTTGTGAAAGATTGAGATTGCTTTGTGATGAATTCTGATTCATCATCGCGGTAGAAGTTGTAGTTGTAATTGAAGTTGTAGTGGGGCGAACAATATTTGGAGTAATAGTTGGAGTTCGAGTAATATTTGGAGTTTGAGAAGTTGGAGGTAAATTAATAGGTGAATGATATGAACTTCTTGTCGTCGTCGTCGTTGTTGTTGTTGTTGTCGCGTTTGAAGAAGTTGTTGGTGGTAATTGAAACGTAACGTGAAGGGAACTTGTACCAGCAGTAGCTCGATTCATTTGGTTAAGATTATTTTACAGTTTTGTCTTTATGTTTTTATGTTTTTGCTTTATGTTCTATTATGTTTTATTAAATTACTAAACTCACAGAGTAAGAAAACTTTTAAAAATAAAGTGCACGAAATAACGAAAAAAGATGTTTGTCAAAAATTGCCAATTTTAAATTTAAAGTTAAAAAAAAATAAACGTGTATATTGTGTCACCTCCAATTTAATATCATATATAAAAATTGACTCAACATTCTTAAATATTGTATTGGAAAGTTTGGAAAAAAAAAACTTAAAAAATCAAAAACAAAATAATCAAAATAATGGATATAGAAAAAGAAACATATATTTCAAAGACTACAGTATTAACACCTCACAAAATATCTTTATTAACATTGGTATACGCGTATACGGATATTGAAGGTGAAAGGGATATGATGGAATCTTTATTATATTTCTTGATTGAAAAGATATCGGTATTTATTTTATACAATTGATTTATACTTATGTTGTATTAATTATTATTACAATAAATGTTATGATAATAATAATAATATAAATAATAATCATTAATAATAATGATAATAAAATAATAATTCAAAATCAAATCAAAGAATGAACATCGATTTCCCGAACCTACACTTCCAGAATTATGTGATGAAATTTTTCAAAAAACAAAAGCAGCTTTATTAATGCACGTTTTACTTGATAGTGTAAATATTATTTTTATTAATTAATTAATCAATTAATTAATTAATGAATCGATTTAATAATTAATCAATCAATCAATCAATTAATTAATCAATCAATTTAATAATTAATGATTTTAATTTGATAATTTAATTTGATAATTAATGATTTTTATTAGTTAAAAGCAATGGATTCACCTAATGAAATGATTGATCTCCTAAAAGGTAAAAATTATTTTATATTATTTTATATTATTATCATCATCATTATTATTATCAATAAAATTAATAAATTTTATTATTATTAGATTCTAGAAAATTGACAGTGTCTAGTAGTGATGATGATGTATGTCAAGTACCTTTATTAAATTATTTCTCACTTATATATATATATACTTATAATATTTATGTAATATATATTTGTAATATATATTTGTAATATATATGTTATGTATAGACATCTCCTTTGGTATGTAATCAAATATAATCAAATTACAATAATTAATAATAATAATAATAATAATTATGATAGGAATAATAATATATCTAACAAATAATAACAACAACAAAACAACAACAACAACTACAACAACAATAATAATAGGGGAAATATAGTTTATTAGGAATATTCGTTCGACGATGTCAGATCGAAGGCGAAAAACTTGAATTTGATGAAATCTGTCGATTGTATAATGCCATGGTAAAATATAAAGCCCCGACTCCCGAATTATATGAAAAAATCAAAGAATTGGAAGATCTCGATTTGGAACTTGATTATGAATCGGGAGTTCTTTCACAAATTGCTCAACATTATCATATGCATAATCAAGGTATTCATTGATATTAATTAATTAATTGATTGATTGATTGATTGATTGATTGATTGATATAGTTTATTTATTTATTCAAATTTATTAAATTTATTCTAATTATTCTAATTGTTGATGATGATATCATTAGAAATAATTGCGAAATGTGATGCAGAATCATTTTCTCGGTATATAATATCCCAATTCCGAAGTATGAATTCTATATTACTTTTATTATTTATTTACCCTATTTAAAATAATTAATAATAAACAATTAATGATGATAATAATTAATGTTGATAATAATCAATGATAAATAATTTATAATAAAAGAATATGGTGGAATTTTACCTCCTGAACTTGAAACCAGACATCGATTGATACATGAAAGGATGCCGGAAATATCTACAATTTATTATATTGAGTGAGTAATTGTTTATTATATGTTGGATTTCATATTATAATAATTTCATAATTATTTTATAAATTATTTTATAATTATTTTATAACTATTTTATAATTATTTTATAATCACTTTATTATTTTATGATAGTTATGTAAATTGTATGCAATCAGGTGAATATGAAGGAGCATTAACCAATTTCTATAAATATTCTAATTTTTGTCCTAATGATGCCGAGAATCGGTGAGTTATAATTAATTTATTGTTTCATTGTTGTATTTTTAATTATTATAATTAAATGATGGATATGATATTAGTAGGAGTTGGTATCAATATGTTTTATTAAATTTAGTAGTTTTACATTCTAAATTTGGTCATAAGGAGCAAGCTCTCTTGGTAATGATGATTGATTAATCCTATAATTAAATAGAATTAATTTAAATTATGAAGATTGATTAAAAAAATAATTAATATATATATAGGTTATTCGTGAAGCGATAGAGATGGCACGTGAAAACAATGATCAAGATTGTTTACGTTTTGCATTAAGGTAATTTATTTGATTCATTCATAATTTTTTGATAATAATTATAAATAATAATAATAATAATAATAATTATAATAATAATATAATTGTTATAGTTGGTTGTATAGATTAAAATCAAGTGATCACACATTAGTAGATGTCACAGATCAACAAATGCTTGAATCACTTATAATTAAAGCCAAACAATCAAATTATACTTCTTTACAATCTTTAGGTGAACTTGGAAAATCACAAAATCAAATTCAAAAGGTTACTTATTTACAAATTTATTCAATTTCTTTCATTCATTTCTCTTTCCAATTCTTACATTTATTTGAATTTAATTTAATAATAACAATTTAGGGAGCATCACCCACAAAAGTTTTTGATTCATTATTTAAAAGTTCGGTCTTAAATCTTAATTGTCCTTTTAAAACTATGAGATATCAAGGACAACTACTTTATGCAAACGTATGGCAAATTTATGGTAAGATTTTTAATGATAATAATAGTAATAATAATAGTAGTATAATAATAATAATAATAATAATAATAATAATAATAATAATAATAATAATAATAATAATAATAATAATAATAATAATAGTAATAATAATTATAATAATTATAATATATTTTTAGGTAGTTCAGCATTGTCAGCATTATATTCATATGAAGTATTATCAAATCCCGAACCCAGTCTTGAAGATCTTGTCATCGCTTATTGTCAAATTGCAGATTTAGTAAATAACAATCATAATAATAATCATGATGAAATGAATAAAAAGAAATTTTTAATTATTATTAAGATATTTATTAACAATTTTTTTATTAATTTTATTGTTTAAAGAACGTTTCACAGGGGAATTATTCTATAGCATTTGATTTGTTGGCTGAATCCAAATCCAAATTTATTGGAATTCGTAGAGCAGCTTTACAATGGATTGTATGTTTAGAAAGAATCTTGTATCAAAAGAGTTTTGAAAGGTAAAATTAATATTAATCATAATACAATATTAATATAATACAAAATAATATAGTAATAATATAATACGATAATAATATAATACGATAATAATACAATAATAATAATACAATAATAATATTATTATTTTATAGGGATGAATTTGCAAATGTTGAAGCCTTAGAGACTCAACTTCGTGGTAGTTGTCAAGATGATGAATTCATGCGTGCTGATTTTGATTATAATCGAGCTCTATATTTAGCAAAGATTGGTCGTCCGGAAGAAGTTAATATAATTTTCACTCTTTGAATAAAATAATTATAATAGAAAAAATATTATCGAATATTGATTGAAGAATTTTATTTTTATTTTCATTTTTTGAAAATTTTTAATTAAATAGGCTACAGACGTTCTTCAGGGATTAATAAATAAAAGTTCAAGATTGGGTTCTCGAAATCAAATGCTTGTTGCCAATTATTTATTAAAGATTGCCGAAATCCTCATAGTAATAATGACAATAATAATAATGATAATGATAATAATAATTAAATAGTATATATATATAAAATATATATATATAATAAATATATATATATATTTATGAATATAATATAAAATATAATATTATTAAAATATAATATTCACAGGAAGCAGAAAATCCCACAACGGCACTTCCTTACGTTTTAAGCTCACTTTGTATAAGTGAACGATTTCATTATCAAAGTAGTTATCTCATGGCCATCATAAGATTATCTCAGATATTAATTCATTTTGATTTGATTGATAGAGCCAAAGCTATGATTGAAAATATTATGCCTATGGTATGTTAATTATTATTATTATTATTATTATTATTATTATTATTATTATTATTATTGTGGTTATTATTAATATTATTAATATTATTTTTAGGTTCTTACAGAACATTCATTATATATGCAATCAATATCACATTTAATTTATGCTCAATGTCTGATTGGTTGCATTACTCAAGATATGAAAGGTGATGATTATTAAGGATTATTATTATTATTATTATCATCATCAAGGAAGATTTATTTAAATAATATTTCAATCAATTATTAATTATTATTTATTTTCAATTATTAAATAATAAACAGCACATCGGAAGCAATCAATAAAATGGGAAGAAGTTTTAGAATCACTTAATAATGCTCAATGGGGTATGATTATTATAATATATGATTATAATATATGATTATTATAATATATTAAATAATGATTATTTAATTTTAGGGTTTTCACATTTAGAATCACTCTCTCAATTACTTGACGTAATTCAATTAAAGTCATACGTTTATAATGTAACGGGAGACTTTGTTAAACGTGATTTCGAAGCCAAAAATTATAAAAATTTATATTTAATTCAAGAAGCCAATAAATCAAAATCAAAGCAACCTTACTGGGATATTCCTTATTACGCTAGATTTATTCATCAATCATCATCACAACAATTATCTAAACATGACTTTTTTGATGATTGGATAATTGATACTCCTAAATCTGAAACTAAATATGAAAGTAAATCCGAAAGATCCGAAAGTGAAGATGATTTCAACAACAACAACAACAATAATAACAATAGTAATAGTAATAATAACAATAACAACAACAACAACAACAACAACAACAATAATAATAATAATGATAACGATATTACTTCTAGTAGTAATACAATGTCAATGATGAATATTCCAACATCCGTACCTACATATTCAACTTCAACATCAACATCAACACCAACACCAACACCTTCAACCGTAACATCAGTAGTAGAAACTCCAATACCGACACCCACAGCATCTTTAACACCAACACCAGCTATAATTCCAACAGATACAATAGATGATACTTCAATCACAACAATTGATCCTATGGATATTTCAGCAAATACTTCGATGATGAGTATTATTAGTGATGTAGCAATGGATACTGATGCTTCTGCTGATGATATTTTATTTGATGAATACTTGAATTATCCTTGATTTGATTAATTGATTATTAATCAATTGATTTTGATTTATTAACTAATTGATTGATTAACTAATTGATTGATTAATTATCAATTGATTAATTATTGATTGATTATTGATTGATAATATCATATCTAGTATTATAAATAATAATATCATATCTAATATTATAAAATAATAATAAAAAAATGATTGGTCTCTGTTTTTTATTGGAAATATCATTTATAAAAAGTAAATAAATTATTCTTTGAGAAATAATTGTTGCGAATTCAATCACATTACTTATTAGAAATAAGGATTTTTTTTTTTTACTAATCATTTTTATCATTTTTATCAATTTTATTATTATTGCCAATTTTATTATTATTATTATTTTTATCATCATTTTAGTGTTATCATTATTTATTATTAAAATATTTAATTTTTGAAGAATGCATATTTTTCTTTTTTATATCAGAATCTGTTAATCAAGTCAAAGATAAAAATAAATATAGATGAAATATATATATATATTATATATTATTGATACTTAAATCAAAAATTCGATTTCGTTAGTACATTAGTATAAATTATGTGTAAGATAATTAAAGTGGAAGTTTAATTTTGAATTACAATTTCAAATAACTGTTATAATGGAATTTTTCATTGTATATCATATGTAGTTAAAATATTTTCCATTGTTTAATAATATTAAGTAATCAAATTATATATTGTGAGAAAAAAAATCAAAAATATTTAACTGGCCTGATCCTTGTTCATTGGATAAATTCCAATTCTGAATAATTCGTAATATATGACTCGAAAAAGGTAAAAATCATCGGCTATAAACTTTGTTAAGAAAAAGTAACTCTTAATCATTAAAAAAACACATATTAAGTATCCCATACTACTTCTCAAGTATGTTTCAGGCATTAAATATAAACCATTCTTTAAAAAATCTATGAAATTTATTATAAATAAACAATTTAAATTTTATATCATGATATCTATTTAAGAATTACTGAAAAAGAGCCAAAGCATGATCATGATATAATAAGATTTATATCAAATCACCTTTACTATATATAATTCCTATTAAATAAATCATAATTTTTAATAATAATTAAATACTTTTTATTTTATATTTATATTTTTTAACAAATAATTTAATGCAACTAAATTTACTATAAAGCTACACTCCCGTCGAGGACCACCCCGTGATTTGCATAAAACATAAAAATATCGTGTGACTTAAAAATTTTGTGATACCTGATCATCAACAATGATTATCGCGAATTCATATTTTATTTATTGTATTGTAGGTGAGGCAAAGTTATAAGTTTTTATTTCGCTGGTGACTCATTTCAAAAAAAAAAAACTCGGTATGGAAAGACTATCATTCATAATAATATATCGAAATATCGTAAAAATGGTAGTATTTCAGGAGTGGGCGACATAAAAAAGATTAAAAAACGTGATATGCGATGCGTCATTTCAAGACTGTTATTTCCAAAAATCGACGTAAATCATCTGAAAAACCACAAGAAAACTTTAATGAATGTACAAGAAATGAAGTAAGTAAAAAGTAATCTTAAATGTAAACTATATGAAATGAGGTATCATAGTCAAACATTTCTTAGAAAAAAAACCAATATTAATGGAACTAATAGAATAATTTATTTAAATTGGACTTATGAAAGATGATTGTGAACGATTTAATGATTGGAAAAAAAAAAGGATTTGGAATGACGAAATCACGATTTACATAATTTAGGAATGGCAAAATTCATGTATGACGGCTTCCAAAGAAATATGCCTTGTTCCAACTGTAAAGCTGGAGATATCATGATGTATGTGGAGGTGTTTTCTTTATATAGATTAGGCCCTTTAACCAGAATTGATAAGCTGATCAATAGTAACAGATATATAAAAGAAATCATTTATACTATTTATACTATTTTTAGAAGAATTTGAAGAAATAAAATGGGTGAGCATCTTTTCAACAAGATAAAGTACCAATTCATACTAGTATTGAAACACGATTTCTCTTCTCCCGTAGCCAGTACAGTCACCTGACTTAAAACACTCAATAGGACGTCGAACTAAAAGAAAAAGCAGGAATATCGGTTACAAATTAGAAGTGACATTTATCAAAAATTAGTTAACAGTATGGAAAACAGAGTAAAAGCAGTAATAAAACCTCATGTTTATCATACTAGATATTGATTGATTTTTATTAAGTTTTTACAAATGTAAGTATGGTAAATTAATTTTTAATTAATTTTTTTTTTTTAAAAAAAATATAATGGAATATTTTTTAATTTATTTATTTCAAAAATTTAGAGTTGAAAAATTTTTTTATATATTGTGAATTGTCAATATAAAAAATTATATACTATTGTTATGTAAAAGTTTTTTTTTTAATATATTTAAAAAAATTCCGAAAGTTCATATTATTAAATAAAAAATTACAATAAAATAATTGGTTGATCGATTTTCTGTAATTTATCAGGGGTCTTAATCTATTGAGATGGGAATGTAACTGAGAAAGCCAAGATCACACCAAAGGTCATTAAAAATTTCGTCAACGAATAGATCTCAATTAACTTCTTTCTACTCTCGAACATCGACTTCAAGAAAACTTTGTGCTTTATATAACGAATATATTAATTACTAATAATCGTTACACAAATACATTATATAAAGATTATCAGTTAAATATCAATAAATAAATATAAATAAATTTAAATTTAATTGTAGTTATGGTGCATATTTTCTTTATTACCAACCAAGCCAACGTACATAACAAAATTATTAATAGCTATTGTAATAATTATAATGGTGGATGACGCGTAACTAATAATTTCTTAAATTTTCTTAAATTTTCTTAAATTTCTTAAATTTCTTAAATTGAATACTAACTTAATTAAATATATTAAAAGGGATTAGATTTATGTAAATAGTCTAAACTTATAGGATAAAGAATTTTAGCATATTATACGGAAATAAATAAAAATAAAAATAATATTGAAACCTTAAAAAGTTTACTATTAACTTATCATTAGTAAAGTTGTGATATTTTTTTTTTGATCCAAATATATAAAATATATAACTATATTAAATATATTAAATATATTAAATATATCTAAAATTCATCTATATAATTTATATTTCGCACATAAAATTCACGTTATTCCCTAGTTTACAGTGGGAACTTTATATAAATCTTATAAAAATATTCGATTTTTAAATAACAAAGTCATATTGCTTGGTAACATAATTAATAAGTCTACTAGCATAAACTGCCTGTGGACTAGTAACAGTAATCTCTTCATCAATAATTGCTGGCATTTCATCAGCTTTCGCGAATTGTTGATAAATACTTGTCTCGACTTTTCTCTCTTTAACACAATTATACCATCTCAAACAAGTTTCATAAATTTCTTTCGCAGTAGGTCGTTTCGTCGGATCTTGATTCCAACATCTTCGCATTAATTCAATGTAACATGGTGGTGTTCCACTAGCGATGGGAGGTCTCTCACCTTCACAAATTTGTAAAATGAGTTGATAATCATGAGGGATATTACAAAATGTTGGTCTTCCCGTGGAAATTTCCCACATAATCATTCCAAAACTATAAACGTCCGCAGGTTTACGATAAGGTTTTCCACTTAAAACTTCTGGTGCCATGTAAGGGACGACACCGTAACAACCTTCATCTTTGGGAATATAATCTTTATCCAATCGTGATAATCCAAAATCTGATACACGAGGATTTCTGGTAACTTGTAATACGTTTCCACTATGAAAGTCACAATGAACCAAACCACTTTCATGAATAATTTTTAAATCTTTAATAATCTTGGTCGCGTATTTTAACCTTTCCTCCCATTTTAAAGTATCATGATTTTTTTGTAAAAAACTACGTAAGTCTCCTGTCTGCGCGTAATCTAACACGGTGATGAATTCCCGAGTTTTCGGATTCCGGCTTATTCCGTAGCATTGAAGGAATTCGTCGTCTTGCAACATCATACATTTATGATGAGTTTTGATCTTCACGAATTTAAATTATAAAAACAAAAAGCAAATTTAAATAATATAAAAAATAAAAGTAAAATAAAATAAAATAAAATAAAATAAAATAAAAATAAAATAAAATAAAATAAAATAATGTTATAATATCAACCTCATTAAGGAACGTTTCAGCAATATCAGAAACGTTACTAAAAGCTTTCAAAGCTACTTGATAATCCCTCCAACTCTTTCTAACATATTTCTTCGTTTTTTCATCCCATTCAAAATGACCTTTCAAGCAATTGGTTCTGATAGCAGAATAAACCGTGGCGAAACCACCTTGACCGATTTTTTTGATATTCTTAAAATTCTCAAATGGAATCCATTCAAGATAATCATAAGAACGACGAGCGCCGGTTATAGTTTCTTTAATAAAATCATCTAAATCTTTATAACCACTTGTCCAGCCGGAATTTTCTTCAAGCAATAATTTAGAATGACATGGTGGGCACCAGTTGGTACCAGTCTTTGGTTCACCACAAGCAGGACAAAAGCCATGGTCATTTTTCAAACCACTCTCGTTACCCTCGTGCAACTGACTATTATTGATATTATCTTTATTCGCACTTTTTCCTGCTGGTATTTCCATAGTATCCTTGATTTCAAGTTCGAAGGTGTCTATTATCTAAAAAATTGGATAACAAAAAAAAAAAAAAGAAAAAGAAACTTTTTTTTTTCATTTATCAGGAAAAAAAAGGGAATAAGCTACGCAATATCATTAATAAAATTTCGTTCGTAAATTTTAATTAAAATTTTCTGATATGTTCAATGTCAAAGATCGCAACATTGAAATCGTCCTACGTAAATGTTTCTAAAAAAACAAACTTCAAGAATGGAAATCGAGTTGAAAATCTATACAAAAACGGACCATAGAAAAATCACGAATTCCATTTATGGCAGTTATAACTAAAGTTCATCTAGCGTACAAACCTTGTGAACACAATCCAAATTAGCTCCATTGCATAACAGTATATAAACTATAGATTCACTTTCTTGTCGACTTTTCTTATCTCATTCTTTTTTTTTTCAAAAGTTTTTATATCTAAAAAAAAAAAAAATGGTTTTTCAAGAGTCGTACAAACGAATTATCATACTCGGCTTAGATGGTTAGAAATCAAAATTTTATAATTAATGATTTTTAATAATAATAAAGTTCATATTGTTCATATTTTTTATTATTCATATTTTATTAGTTGTATTATATTATATGTATTATATTATTTTGTATTAATATTATTTCTATTTTATTATTTTTATGATTTTATTTGTATTATCTTATATGATTTCACTCTCATATTTTATTATTCCTACTTTATTTACTAGGTGTAGGTAGGTTTTTAACAGAAACCGAAACACCCAATATTGATGCTTTCTTCGCCTCGGGTGCAAGTTCATTAAAAGCCAAGGCAGTGGTACCAACGGATAGTGCGGAAAATTGGGGTTCCTTATTACATGGGGTTCTTCCTCATAAACATGGATTAAGAAATGGAGATGTGGACGCGGGAATTCCATATGATGAAAATAATCCTTATCCAAGTATTTTTAAATTACTTGAAGCCAAATCAAAAGATGATAATAATAATAATAATAATAGTAACAGCAACAACAACAATAATAATAATAATATTAAGATGGCATCTTATGTAGCTTGGGAATCAATTAATACTGGTATCATCGAATTATCGGTCAAAGTTGATTTATATGCACCTCTCACTCATGAAAATTTTTTTTTTAAATGGTGGCTACGATTTAAACATAAAATTAAAAATTCGATTTTCGATTATTCGGTGGTTTCAAGATTAGTCGATTATATTCATGATCCAAAAAATCGAGATGTCAAATTGATCTTCGTTCATTTAACCGATGTAGATGAATATGGTCATGGTCATAATTATGGATCTCAAACATATTTGGAACAAATTAAAGTTTTGGATTCACATATTGGAAAAATTCTCGAGGCGATCGATAAAGAAGGTTGGAACGATGATTCTTTGGTAATAATGACAACTGATCATGGAGGTATTGGTACATCTCATGGAGGAAAAAGTGATGAGGAGGTTAATGTATTTTTGGCGGTTCGCGGTGAGGGGATTGAACCAAATTCAAAAATCGAAAGTGAAGTGTGTAATATGGATTGTGCAGCTTTGATCGTTAAAGCATTAGGAATGGAAATTCCTGAATGGTTTGATGCTAAATTGCCGATCGAATTTGCTTAGCAAAATAAAAAAAAAATTTTTTCTTAAAAAAACATGATTCGTCTAAAAATGTCATTATTCATGATCAACGGGGAACTTATTTAACCTGTAATTTTATGTTGTGAAACTATCTATTAGATTATGAAAATGAGCTGAGATGATCTTGTAGCAGAACTGGAAATGAAAAATGTTTTTGGTAAATCACGTGATTTTCGACAAAATTTCTGTTTCTTCGTTCCTCTAATTATTTTTTTTTAATGAATTAAACTTCAAAATGATCGGCTTAATCGAAAATGAGCTTTAGATGTGTCTCAAGTTAATGAGTATTAATTATCCACATTTTTTCCCCATTGATTATTTTTATTTCTTTATATAATTTTATATAATCCAGAAATCAATTCTATCTATATATGGACATCATATGCATTCCCATTCCCATTTACTTCATTTCAAATAATTTAATTTTCAAGAAATTATTTACACTTTGATAAGTTATTCCTCAAAATATTTATACATCTTTATTGTTTAAATTATTCACAATTAAGAAAAATTCCGAAAATCCACTCTACTAATGTCTATAGTAAGTTCTTCCCTATTTCTACATCATTAAGTTTGATTTCCATAGATCTACGATGAATATTCATATTTGTATATTACTGAATTCATTTATCTTCGATTTATTCTTGAATAAATTTCTTCTTCAAACTACCAATATATTTATATTATTTGGTTTAATATTTCCAACACCCCATTTAAATCTTCAAGAAATTTTTTAGATATGCCCAATTTTTCCTTTTTTTTTTTTTTTTTTTTGATAAAATTTTCCCTCGTACTAATATTTCTATATCATTTTTCTAAAACTTTATTTAAATTTGCAATAGATTCTTCTTATTTACCCTTTTTTGTTAAGAATTTTCTTGAATTATTAATGCCCGTTATCATATCGTTTCTATTAATTTCCAATAGTTTTTTTCAAAGCAGTAAAAAATTCTTCAATAGTTAAAATATCTGCATTTTTTTTTTATTATTCCGTTTTGAAATTGTAAATTCAATGGTTGATTTCGATTTTTGTGCATTTGATCTATTGCATGATCCGAATAACAATTACTTAAATGATATTTCAATGAAGGTCAGATTGTAATAAACTATTATTGTTCTCAAAAAGAAAAGGTGATTTAGAATAAGGAGAAAATTTTGATTGTTGACTTGGAATTTATTGTGATCGCCTCTTCACTTGACATAAATTTGTGGATATGTCAATATTATTGCTTATGAATCAAATGGTATTTTAATGAAGAAGGTGAACCAGGACATTTTTCTTTTGTGACTTTGGGTTGGATAATATGGCTTAGTAAACCTTTTTACACGTGCATTAGAAGATGTACTGAATTTAATTTGAATTTCTTGTTCATTGAATAGTGGAGGACGTAGTTTCTATATCTTGTTCATTAATAAGAGATGATCTATTTCCAGTTGTTATGTCTTATTCATGATGAAGAGATGTTCCAGAATCAAAAGAAAGTTGGGATTGAAAAGTATAGTCTGTTGTGTCTATGGAGAGATTAAATAATTAATACTGCTTTCGTTAGACATGTTAATTTTTTTTTTTTATAAATACGCTGTCGAATTTATTTATATTTTTTTATTCGATTAATCATAAAATCAAATATTATTTTATTGTGTTAGCCAAACCTAATATTTGCGACCTACAACAAACAATTATTATGAAGATTTTTTTTTTTCGAAGCTTCAAAATTTGGTCTTGCAGATTTTAGCATCATCATTATTAAATTTTCACTTTTATAAAGATTCTTTATGAATTTTAGTAAAATAGACAAAAAAAAAACCGTCTCTTATTTCTTTCTTTTGACAAATTATATTTAAGATAAAATTTTCGATACTAACTAAAGCAAATTTTCTCAAAATGTAGAAGTAGATGACCATAATATTTGATTTTGTTAAGTTTGTACAACAACAAAAAAATTTTTTTCTAAATACCATTCCTTTGGATTATTATTTTATGAAAGTACAAAAAATTTTTTTGTGTATATCATGTGAACAAATTTTCAACAAGGAAATTTATTATCATTATTGTGTTATTAATGTAAAAACCGGTTTTTATTAACCCAATTTTATCTCAGCAGATATGTAAAAGGCTGATTACAACATGACAAAATATGATTATAATTTATTCTTTACTTTTTTCCTAAAATAAAGAACTATTTAATTATAGATGGGAGAAGGACAAGGCTCACGAGGCTTTAGGAAAATAAAATGGTCAAATTATGAAGTTTTCCATAATCATAGAAGCTTCTTTTTTTTTTTATTAATCTTCACGCTTATTTTAAACGTTAAAATTGTGGTTTATATAGATTGCTTTTTGAAATTTAATTTAATTATTTTTTTGTGGTTTACTATAATGAAGAAGATTTTTTATATTCGATTACAATGAAAGCAAATCAAAGATTATTAAAAGTCACCCTTGTTTCAGGCAATTATTTTAATTTCTAGAATATAAATTCTTTTTTTTTTTTTTCTCTTAAAAACTGTTTATATATGAAAAGAATTATCAACAATGAAATAGCTTAAATATATTGAATAGCTAAAATTTATTGCAAAGTTTATAATTTTTTAAATTATTATTAATTATAAAGTGGATAGTTTAAAGTTTAATTAAATAGTTATTATAGTTTAGAAAATTATCAACAACACATTAGGCGGAGTAATATTAATTTTTTATTATGATTTTGAGTTTGGATATCATTGTCATGTCATATACATTGTCATATACATACGAATTTAGATAAGAAATAATTTACATTATAAATTTATTAAATTGTTTAAGATTATAGGAGAAAGTTCTATAATAAATGTATTGGGGTAATGATCGATAAAGTATTTAAATAATGTTAATTTATTATCACAAAGTTACAATAATTTATTTTTGATTACGTAAGGGATTTTTTTAAACTCTATTAATACAGTATTAATGACTAGATCAGCTGCAAGCATTAATTGTTTTTTTTATTTAAATCGAAACGCAACGCAAAAACGCAAAGCGAGAGGTCAGATTTAATATTACTAACATTAAAAGTACTTAATCGTGATGTTTAACATCTCGCTTTTCGTATAAATAACTATAATTTATAAAATTTTAAGGAACAATTACAGCCTAAAAGCCGAACGCATCATATTTTGTACTAATTTATTATTTTATTTTTTTTTTTTGATCCTCTCAATCAATTTTTTTTATCTTAATTTTTCTTGATCTTTGCATTTTCTCGCACTCTATTTGCAACTATATATTATAATACATAAATAAATATAAATTTTGGTTTTGAACGGTTTGTAGTTTTTTTATCCTTTCTTAATCATATTTAAATTATAAAATAATTGGGTCTTTGTTATATTTGCTAAAAATGGATGATAACGAACTGTGAGAAGCACCTCACAAAAAAAATGGAAAAGACAGCGCGTAGCACAAATCTGCAAAAAAATTGTCGTGAACAAGATTGGCGTTTCGGAGGCAGCGATGCATGATTATATTAGGAAAAAATGAAATTAAAATTCACAATAATTTAAAATTTATGAATTTTTTTTTGATTTCTGAAGTTTATCTAACACACAAATATAATATCTTTTCACTTTTGTTTAAATCATTAATAGAATAGACATGATAGTATTACAATAGAATATATAGAATTATCTATTCATATCAAATTTTATTGAGACCGAAAAATGTCTAACGTAAGTGTAAATACGAAAACGATTGAAATCTCATTTACAAGGAAAGGAATAATTTACATATTATGTTTTATTTAGGCACCGCAACAATGTATTCTTGCAATTGGAAAAACGGGCAATGGAAAAATCTTTACTGGAACAATTTTTGGTGCGTCTACAATAGTCGGGCATAAGACCACATCAAAAACGGACGAAGTTGCGGTTCATGATTGTGGAAATGGACGTTTCTATGTTGATACATTTGGTTTTGATGATTCTGATGAGAAAAAAAGTGATGCTGAGACCGCTCGCAAAATTCTTCGTTCAATGGTGGATTAAAATATTACAAAATTGACCACAATCTTGTGTTTTGTAGTGCCTGACAACAGAGCAACAGGTTCACTTCGCCGTCAAGCAAGATTTATAAGAATCCTTGGCCCAATATTATGATGGAAATGTGTGGGAAATGTTATTGTCGTTCACAAAGGAATCAATATTGAACAAGGCCTTTATGATGCTTGCTAAAGAAATAGCTCGAAAGTTTTATAAAACAAAACATGGAGAATTTCCGTGCAACGACGAAGACCTGCTTAAAAAACCTTTAATTTTTGCAATTCTCCTATTGAAAAGTTTACCGCGTACCAATCTTTATGTCAGAATTAATTTCATAAGTGATGGGTTAAACGGCGATAATGTTTTTAAAAGCTCCGAAACGGAACGAATCCTCGCAAAGTACGAATCACTAATGAGGGATCATTTTGAGTATCCGATCCCTCTCACCTTCCAAAGGTTCAAATGTTTAAAGTGTCCCGAAGACACTGATCAAAGATTGGCTGTTGCGAAATGTCATTTGTACGGAGAATTGATTCATAGCAAAAAAAGAAAAGATGGTTCATCGTAACGATGTGATATTGAGACATTCAAAAGTTACCTATTGGTGCCATATCGACGCAACTGAAAATTATCACCCTGATCCAGAAAAAGAGTACCATACTAGTTACATACGAGAGATGATTCACAAGAATCAACAAGCATCTTGGATATACCCTGGTGGAGCAGTATGAAGTAAGAGACCGTAGTGTTGGCGCGAGTATTTTCCGAGTTGTTACTGTGGGAATCGTCGATCTTTATGACGAGAGAAGAAGGCCTTACAATTATCGTTGTTGTGGTCGTGATAGAGACTCACAAGGATGCACTCCCAAGTGTTGCATTTCGGTTTTTGCATGTTGTCGAAAGGATAACAATGGTTGCATAAACGGACATACTTGTTGCAATAAACCGGTTGGTAGTACTAGATGCAGAGAACGTTATAAATGTTGTCAACGTCTCGAACCTTGTACAAAGCTTTATGAGTGATGCGATTTGAAGGCAGATTCTGAAGGTTGTGAAAATTTTTACAAGTGTTGTAACAAATCGGTTGAGAAGTATGTTATCCGGTTCGTGAGGATTGTGAAGATTTAAATTCGGATCGTGTGTAAAAATTGTAAAAATGTTCAATCAGAAAGTGACGGGTGCACCAAAACATCCCACGATTTCGGATCTGATGTGCCCCAAAATTATTCCTGGGTTTCAAGAAAGCTTCGTTTCTTTACAAGAGTCAAGTTTAGTATTTCTTTGAACCATAATGTATTATGAATTCCTTCAATGTTAAAAATAGCCCTTATAGGAAAAGTAATGACGTTTTATAAATTACATCCTTCTTGTTGATTACATTATTTATTAGATCAAAGATTTTTATTAAATATATTTGTATTATTTAAAATCTATAAAAATAGGATTAATAATCGATTGCTTTCAAATATATCAAATAATAAAAGCGTGACATTTTTTATAAATAAAATTTACAAATTGTTGTACACTAATACATTTGTACTAATTTTCCACCCTATTTCTAAGCGACCGAAGACCCATCGACGCTAGCTGATGGTCAGACCCATCAGTTAAAGTTAGTATAAAAATTAGAAATATGATTTTCGCCATGAATTTTATAAAAGCGTACGCACAAATATGAATTATATACTGTATTATTATTATACTGTATACAAATTTTCTTTCGCCTCGACATTTGTCAAATATACTCTAGATAACCATCCCTTCCAACCAATTAAATGCTACACTTCCAAATATTTTATTTAATGCTGAATTGAGGTAACATAGCATAAAGATTAAAATTAAATTAATTTTTTTAACCTATTAAAGTAAATTTTCCGAAAAATTCAAATAGAATAGACCTCACACTGTTAGAAGTTTCTTATTTATTATTGATTTTTTTTTATTCTTTCTTGTCATATTTTATTATTTATTGTTATTTATTTATTCATTATTTATTATTACTAAGTAGTTATTGTATTAGTTTTAGAATTGGCATATATTTATATAGTTATTCTATTTTTGAACTGTGGTGGCACGAAAATGTCTGCGGCCATTGAGGGTGGTGAGAAGAGGTGGCAGTAATACTAAGATAGGGCGTGTACTACTATTGGGTGAAGTACAGAGGTGGCTATTTATTCACCCTCGTGCAACACCTCCAAAAGAAAATGTGTTATGGGTGGCAACTGAGGGTAAAGATAAATAAAAAGAAAGTTATATAAAGAAGTCGTGATCGCGCGGTCGCAGGGAGACCTTCAGGGAGCGAAAACAAAGAATTTTTCCTTTTATTATTATAGCGTTTTTATATAATAATAATTTTATCATAATATTTGCTTATAACATTAATAATAGTAATAATTTTGTAGTGTTTCGAATTAATATTAGTAATAATCTTCATAATATTAGTATAGAAGTTTAGTGGTAGTTATTGACACAACATCTTGTAATATTTCTACTATTAAGTTTCTATAATAAAATTCATCTACTTAAATAATAAACTCACTTATCTCGCTTAAATAAAATTTGCATCAGTAAGCCTACTCTAATTTAAAAGTGCTCAGTAATTGGTAGAGATTATATATGTTCCCAAAATTGATTTTGGATTTTTGAGGTATTTCGACTTTTTGAGATTTATGCGGAATCTATTCTATATATGGAAGTAAAAAAAGTACCCAGTTATGTGTATATTCAATCAAAGAATAAATCTGAGTGATCAAAAAATTTCGGATATTAAGTAAAATAATTTTGTCATCTATGAAAAACTATTTTGACTTTTTTCCCTGAAATTGCAATTTCGGGACCCCAAAATAATTTTGCATGCAAGTATAGTAGAGATATTTCTACTCCTCTTACTCATCGTACCTCTCAGATTACACTATCATTGTAATTGTTTGAGTTGTTATCTGTGCCAGAGGCCATTCCTGCTGACAGATAACTTGTTGTAGAAAGAGATAAATGTGAGATCTTTGAGTAATGGCAATTTTGAACCAGGTAGACTTATTGGCATAACATTTTATTTTATTTTATTTTATTTTGTGCCACGTCACCACAGTACAAGTAATTAATTAAATTAATATCTTAGAATGGTAATAAGAATTATTAACTTTAGAATAGCTAAGATAGAAAAGGTTAATTGATTATTAAAGAGGATCCTAAGTATCTCAGTTAGAGTCCTGATTTTCTTACATCCTAATTAAGGTACTCAGTTTTGTTAATCAAGAACACCTTAAAAAAGGCACAGTGTCTCAATAGAGGTTCAATTATCCCTGGACTCTAAAAGAGGTTGAGTGCCTTAATTAAAGTCCTGTACCTTAGAAAGAAACATGTATATAATGACAAGAGAAATTACCTTGTCCAGGACAGTTTGTAAAGTTCATACAATTCCTATTTCTTTTATTTTAAAAAAATTACAATTACTTTATACTTTTGTCTTAAAGTGTTGTTGAAATAACCAAAGGAACCCTGTATACCCAAACTCATCTTTTCTCATTTTATTTTGATTTATTGATTTTTGATTGATTTTAGTTTATTGTTTTTAATTTTGATTTGATTATTGATTTAGTTATTTGATTTGATTTAGTATTTTTATTTATTGATTAGTTATAGTTATTGATT